ACCCGAATTTCATAATGGACCTTCGTTCTTACCTGTGTTGGGAGCATGCGCTGACAAACTTTCAGCTTTTATAAAATAACGAAGGTCTGGGGTTCACGGGCTCTTAGACTATATGTGGGAAGAACTAAAAATCTGCCGGAAGTCACTATTCCAGGCGGACGAAGTCGCGGCAAAAGCTAGTAATAAAATACTCATAGTAATCTGAATGATGTTAGTTTCATTTAAAACCCGGTCTTCCAGTGTAAATAATGGAAAGTGGTTTTGGTAAGTGGTTTCTAAATGCATTTTAAAAAATATCTCTTTTTTAAACGGATTTTGTACGGGAAAGAGGAATAAAAGTACTGTGTAGCGTAATAGCGGACTCGAATAGAAAGATTAAAGAGTGATACATTGTGTGTGTTTGTTCTTTCGAAACTAGAACTACTAAACAAATTTTTAATGAAACTACATCAATATAAATATGGCAAGATAAAGAGGGAACCTCTCATCATTCAATGTATTCACAGTGCGGGTGCCGGGTCCATCGTTGCAGTGAGAGGAGCTTCAACAGTTCCTAGGACTTGTGACCCAGGTGTAGGTTTAAGGGGCCCCTATCTAACGCGCGTTAATCTTTCACCTCCACTGTCCAAGCTCCGCTCTCTACTTAACCAATATTACCAAACCTCTATTTAAGCATTACTTATAATTAAAATATAATAAAAATAATAATTCCCCGTCAATATTTGCTTCACTCCCAGTAATACATTTGCAGGCGAGTTTTTAACTGCCCTTTGTATTAACAGCAGTTTTGTTAAGCGCGCCACGCCGTAAAACAACTTTATTAGTTATAACTTTGAACTAACACTATATTGTTCGTTTAACCTTTAGCTAATATTAAAACCTTGAAAATTATTATTTATACATATGTACATATGTATATAGAGTTTTATATAACAAGTCATATTCATCAATATAAATCTAAACCTAATTTAAACACAACTCCCCCTTTGAGTTATAAAGAGGCTTACATATTAAAAAAATCCAGAAAGTATTATAAGTACGAAAAAAATGCTACTGAATTATATAGGGTGGCAAACAGGGGTTCCAGGAAAACTACGAAACCTATATATGTATGTATATAATAATAAGAATTACATATTAAAACTTATAACCTACACCTAAGACTACATGATTGCTCCAATGTTATGATAGCAATACCATTCCATAGCTTGTGTGTATCATGAATCTTCTGGTTCACACGGCTTGGTGTTCGTTCCGCGGAGTAAGCGGCGTCACTCGTTATATGATATTTTATACATACAACGATGTTGCCCCGGCGATGTTCATTAATTGTTTAATACATATATACGCGCGTACGTAACAACTGTGAATACAAAAAATATATCATTATGTTTGTCAAATTTAATAATAATCATTACATATGAAAAAAACGTGGTGTTTAGGAGCACAAATATGTTTTTTAGTCGTCTGTTTGTTCGACTGTTCTCAGACAGGACTGGTCTAATTGTGATGAACTATTTACTATAAGATAGATTTGTTTCAAGAAAATACTAGATTTAATTATATTGAGTAACAACGAAACGATCGCGTGAGTAATCACTCATAAAAATATCGGCCTGTGGGTTAAGGTAACTATATAAAAAATTGTTTTGGTTGAATAAGTAAGAGGTGAATGAGAAAATTGAAAAGACTGAGTTTTTTATATTTCTATCTGAATGTTTCTATTCTTCTCTTGTTAAGCCTATCCTTAAGAGTCCAGGGATGGATGGTTGGATAAACCTCATCCGTAAACCCTCACTCCTAAATCGTTTCATAAAATTTAATTAGTTTTTACGAGTATTAATAAAGTAATTTACCAATAACATAGTGATAAGGAAAGTTTGTAAGGATGTATTGTGGATGTTTTAAGATAAGTAAGGAGATATGAATGTGTGTTTGTTGGTCTGTCACGGAAAAACTGCTCTACGGATCCTGATCAAACTTTATTTAGCGTGGATTTTAGGATAAGACAAAATAAAAATTATCCTGGAGTTAATTGAAGTTCCCGTGGAACCATGCCATAACAGAATTGTGACTTGCATTAAAATTGGTACCTATATATTGTTTTAGTACACTTTATACATTTCTCAGAGCCCAATTCTGTAGGTAACGCAGACGAAGTCGCGAGCAAAAAGTAATATGCACATATTCTCAAAATAATTGATTAATACATTTTTATCATCTCATTTGAGATGTACATCCAATATCACTTCTTCAGACCTTAACAAATTTTTGGCAAAAATATTGCTTATCAACATACTACGTTATAGATATTTTCCTTTATCATTGAAATTTATATAATATATATGTTAATAAACACGAATTAAATTTAAAATACAGTACTTGAAGCAATAAAATAAATCCTACGACATATCTACACCCACATGTGGCTGACACCCGTATACTGTACGACCGTGGTAGCATTTGATAATAATATGAATATTTATGAAAAATGTGTTATAAAATATTAGAAAATACTTACATATCGTGTTGTTTAAACCATTAAAATCTTTCTGTATTATAAAATGTTGTTTTAGTATAATATTACTTCAAAACCAAAGTAATTTAAAATTTATAATAAGAAAATTAGTTAGTGAACTTTTATTAAATAAATATTTTATTTATTTATATGTATGTGTATGCTCTGTTGTTACGAAGTACGCATAGAACCTAAATGCGGGACTTGAATTTATAAGAAACAGTTATGTACTCTTAATAAATTTCATTTTAAATATCATTTCCCATATTTAATTTTTCTATATACTATAAAGTTAGTATAAATATATACAGTATACATAAATAATATTAAGATTTACAACTTTAAAACCAATTATATTAACTAAATAAAATGTAAAATGAACACTATTTCTAATCCACAACAGTTGAACAAACAAGATGTAAGATAATACAAAGTGGAAACAGATCAATAGAACATGAACATCTATCATAGAAAACTTCGAGATGCTTAACCCTTGATCTAAGCATCATCATCATGAGAAGCCACTCTCCTGACCATATAGGCAACCTGTCAAATGTCAACTTGTACAGTTTTTGAGTAGTTTTAGTCGGCCTTATTGATCGTCTTTCAAGGCGAGACACGAGGTCGGAAAAACTGTTTTTTATATCATGTATCTTAGTTGTATTATTACTATGAATTAATGCAACTGTGTCGTAACCTGGATGTAAATATAGTTTTGAATAATATCAATATTAATGTTTTTATGATTAAGATCTAATTCACAGATAGACGTGAAATGTATGCGCGAATTTGTTAATTTATTTGAATGTATATTCTGAAAGATATCTTTGACTTCAGATTAAATGCTTTAATAACTATTGTATATATTTGATAAATAAAATAAAGTGATTTTCAATTTAAGTTAAACTAATATTTTATACATATTACATGCTGTTGATATTTATATGTAAAGTGGTCCAGAATTTCAGATACGTAACTCAGTCGATAATTTCTGCATATGTCTACTATCACATTTATCAAAAGTATTATCGAGATTTCGTTTAAAATATACTAATACGGATTACGGAATATTATTATATGAGTATTAAAAACATTATTTTCTATCGTATAAGTTGAAGTTATGTTTTATTTTAAAAAATTATATAGGGTGGTAACCGGAGGTTGCAGGAGAACTACTAAACTTACTTGCTTACTTACTTACTTACTTACTTACTATATATGTATATTATAATAAAATCTACATATTAAAACTTATAACCTAAAACCTAAGACTACATTATTATCCGATGTTAGTAAAGGGTGTTTTTTTTAGAGATATACAACTTTAAGTTGCCAATACTTTTTTAACTGGCAGTTATTTTGATAGCTGTCCAGTGATTTGTGTTTAATTTGGTTTGGCAATTCATCATGAATAGACTAACGCCTGAGCAACGCCTCCAAATTGTGCAAATTAATTTTGAAAATCATGGCTCTGTTCGAGAAACGTATCGCGCACTACGTTCATTTTAAGGTCTACATAATCGTCCATCAAAATAATTAATTTAATTAAAAATGGATCGTTTACTCTAAATGGTAATACGCATCCACAGAGATGGCCTACAGTGCGTACAGAAGAAGTTATTTCTGCTGTAGAGCGTAGCGTAGAAGAAGACGCGAATCAGTCTATCCGCCGAATAATTGGTCCGTACTTCTTTAGAAACGATGCTGGCCAGAACGTTACAGTAAATGGTGACCGCTACAGAGCGATGATTAGTGGCTATTTCGTTCATCAATTAAACAACCATAATGTTCAGGAGTTCTGGTTTCAACAAGACGTTGAAACATGTCATACAGCTCGTGCCACAATTGATTTATTAAGAGAAACATTTGGTAACCGCATAATTTCATTTTTCGGACCTGTGAATTGGCCCCCAAGATCATGCGATTTAACGCCGCTTGATTTTTTTCTGTGGGGATATGTAAAATCGTCAGTCTACGCTGATAAGCCCGAAGCCGTTGATCACTTGGAGGATAACATTCGCCGCTCTATTGCCGATATACAGTCACGAATGTTGGAAAAAGTCGTTGAAAATTGGACCTCCAGATTAAACTACGTACGTGCCAGTCGTGGAGGTCATATGCCTGAAATCTAATTTTAATTATAATGAAAGAATATTATCTTTTCAAAATATTATATTTAATATCAATAAAAGAAATCATTTTTATTTTATTTTATTTCAAAGTTCTATACCTCTAGAAAAAACACCCGTTATATCAATACCATTCCATAGCTTGGGTAGTATCATGAATCTTCTGGTTCACACGCTTGGTGTTTGTTCCGCGGAGTCAGCGGCGTCACTCGTTATATGATATTAAATCCATACAACGATGTTGACCCGGCGATGTTCATTTTATTTTTAACATGTTGCGTACGTAACAATTATGAGGTTGTTGGTGTTTTTAAGGTTTTGTATCTAACATGGTTTATGTTTGTTTGTTTCAGAAGGACGGCAGTCTGTTCCTGAAGCAAGTGGCGGTAGAAGACGAGGGATTGTACGAGTGTGGCGTAGAGAATGATACCGCGTACTCCGACAGGGTCAATTTCACAGTTAGAAGTAAGTTGGACACATAGAATATGACTTATAAACTTTATATACGTAACAGTAATAATTTTTGGATATATGCGTGTTTTATTTTTGTAAAAACTACATACTCGAAGTTTCGGTTACTTTTCAGGAACCGTGATCACGGACAGACGAGATGTGAATGATAATTTTATTTACAACATACAATACATATTTACTTTCATTTACAATTTTTTTATGTTTACGAAACATATACCTACTTTATTTTTATAGATTTTCTATAACTCTATATTTTTGTTCATTTTTTACTTGTTCTTACTTAAAGAACAAAAATTTTACAAAAATATTGCAATATAAGGTAAATTTAATAAAAAAAAACATTTTTTTTATCTACAATAATCATTAAATAGCCTGTTTTAACATAATATATTTGTCAGTCTGTCTACCGCCAACAATTATAAGATAACTAAGGCCTTAAATTATCATAATTATAATTATATGAAGACACACAAGGAAGGCATTGTAATGAATATTTACAGCATTTCAATACATTACTACAAGACAGTTGTACATCTATTCTTTATTTTTAAGTATTATTTAGAAAATAAGACGTATAGAATTTACTGAAAGGTAAATTAATAATTATGGAAGTTGTAATTAACGTCTTTAATTAAACCCTTAACAGTATTTTAATTAAGACGTGAACTTTTAATTTTGTTGTATTAAAATACATTTTTCATAATAAAAGAAAGTCGTGTTAGTTACACTATTTATAACTCAAGAACTGCTGTAGGGATAGCGTGGAAAATTAGTGTGGAGATAGTTTAGAACAAGGAGACGGACATATGATATTTAATTCAGTTCGATCGAAAAAGAAAACAAAATTACTAAATAAATTCCAATATTTGGATATTTGGGGCCTCTAGGGCAGAATAGAGTTCGCCCGGTCAGCTATACACATATTACTGGTTCCGAAATTAACGCGGACGAAGTCGCGACCAAAATCTAGTTTTACATAAAATATTTACTTTTTTAAGGTTTATAGAAGTTAAAAACTTAATATACATACGTTTATCAATATTGTTATGTCAATATGAATTCAAATCTACACAAGCATAAATCATTCAGTGTCGAAAATACGGCGTTTTATAAAAAAAGCTACGTCAAATGATGAATGGAGCGTTTTCATTAATAAATTGCCCGCAGTATACATTTCACTCAATTTCAATATTAAAATACGATCCCTGTGTGTATTTATTGGATCTTTTAATAGGATTTTCCGGCTTTTCAGCCAAAAAAATAAATTAGTATCTTCTTTTATATACCAATAATATACCTAATATAAATATTACCAAATTATTATTATGTAGGAGTCATAAATAGTAACTGAAGATCCATTATTGTTTAAACATCATGCCTTTTAATATTATAAATGCGAAAGTAACTCTGTCTGTCTGTCCGTCTGTTACGCTTTCACGCCTAAACCACTGAACTGATTTTAATGAAATTTCATACAGACATAGAGTTGACCGTAAGAAAGAACATAGGATAGTTTACATCCCAGACTTTTGAAAGGTTCTCTTCGAAACGCGATATAACCGAACTCCACGAGGGCGAAGCTGCGGGTGGAAAGCTAGTAAAATATAATTTTCCTTTTTAGTCTTTAATGGATTATTATTATTAATTAAGTAAAGTCGCAGAAAAATCTTGTATATATAATTTTTACCTCACAATCATGAATAAAAGAGTAGGTATACAATGTAAAATAAATCTATTTCCATGTAATTCAGGTTAGTAGATTGATTGAATACCTCCGTCAAGGTCCCGTAATGACAACCATTATATGTATATAGTCCGCTGCCACACTAACCGGCTGATGGAAAATATAGAAACTTTTCATTTAATAGCTTGAAAGAGCTGGAACTATGAAACATTACATGAACACTTTGAATATACCTACACTACAGTATATATACATTTAAATTATACACTACAGACTACATTTAAATTTTACACTACAGTATATATACATTTAAATTATACACTAAAGACTACATTTAAATTTTACACTACAGTATATATACATTTAAATTATACACTTAGTTTGCTATCCCCTGAGGATTATATCGTTTCAGATTTTAAGTCGTCTTTTATTTAAAAATATCTACATTTGATATTAATCTAGAATATAATGGTCTAGAGAAAAGACGCTATACACAATGCTAGCGATGTTTAGAAGAATCAAAACTTCAAGTTTATATGGAAGAGAAGTTTACAAAGTTATTTTAAATAAAATGCATTTTATGGTAACAAATATTACACACACAACCAAACAATAAACACACGCACACATAAATTTTTATGTCCCTCTTCGTGTATTATCATTTATCAGTAAATATCAAACAATGACATTTCTTTATAACTATTTTATCGTTTAAACAATACTAATATTATTCGTATTACTACGCGTATTTTATTATTATTAATTACATACTTCCGAAGTTTCGGTTACTTATTATGAAGACGAGATGTAAATGCGTAATAATCCGAATAATATTAGTTTCATTTAAATGAATACTCGCAAGTTTTAGATCTCATTATTAAATAATCAAGATGAAATTTCCATAATTGGTAGTTATTTTATGTATATAAGTGTACATAACAAGTCTGTTGTATATTATTTACTGCAGTTTTAAGTACAGATATTGTTTTGGCACGGTAAGTACGGATGAGTCATTTGATGCACTTCAAGGTTCAAGTAATATGGCAGTGAGTTACGTAACTCGTAAGTTTAAACAAATATTTAACATAACCATTAAGAACTGATCCGTCGTTATATTTAATGAGACATTAAAATTTTATTATATTTACCTGTATTCATTTGCATTAATGATAAATACACGCGTACAGCTTGGTATTTTAGTTATCAAAAGTAACAATATTATTTTTAAATCATTAAAGTATTGTCAATCTTTAATAATAATGCTAAAAATATTGATAACAAAAGGAGAAAGGTTGAAGAAAGTAATGCTCACACGTATTTCACAATAGTTATTTGGAAATATTTCTTTTTTTTAATCATCAAATCATAAACAAAAAGCTAGATTTGCTCAATATTTAAACGAAAATAAATAAAGATTTTATAAAAGTAATAGGTATGTTAAAGAACTACATTCATAGTACGATAAATATTGTGTAGTATATATTAGATATCGGTGGTGGCCTAGTGGTTAAAAGATCCGCCTCTCATGCACGGGGGCGCGGCTTCGATCCTGGTCCTGGCGAGTACCAATGTGATTTTTCCGAGTCATATGTACTTTCTAAGAATATTTAGACATCACTGATTAATGCATTCCCAAAGAGGGTTGATGTCAGGCAGGCGGCCGGTCGTAAAAACAATTAGCCAAAACTATTCACAACATGTAAGGCAGTGCCTCGCTAAAGCTGGGAAAATGCCAGGTAGATGAAGAAGAGTATATAGTATATATTAAAACTTTATAAAATGTTTGAATATCTCAGAATAAGCGCGCTCCAGTGAAATGTACTCATTCAATACAATTAGTTGAAACAGCGAGCCCGAACTTTAAAGAGTTCAAAATAAACATTACCATCGACCGGGCTCTCAGACAACAAAGAACGTGTGTACTCAGAAATTAATATTCAACTGTCTTTTATAATAGCATACAGAAATTATCATATATTTATTCTATTTTTGTATCATTGTCTTTGCGTTTCTTAAGATACATAAATCAAAACCGTGGTTAAAGGCCCACCTCTCATGTATAAGGGCGCGGGTTCTATCCTGGCTAGTACCAATATGATTTTTTTAGTCATATGTACTTTTTAAGAGTATTTAGACACTACTGACAGACGATGAAGGAAAACATGATGAAACATGGATTTATAATTTCAAATTGTAAGTTTGAAATCGCCAACCCGTCTTGAGCAAGCGTGGTGATTAATACTGAAATCTTCCTCATGCGAGAAGAGGCCTTTGCTCAGCAGTGGATACCGATAGGCTGATGATATCTGAATGATAACTTGACCAACTTTCGATTGAGTTATTTGTAAGCTGGGTATTTAAAAAGCTAGAAGATTAGTTAGAGTTACTTAAGCATAATTGTTGATCAAACTCTTTGGGAATGCATTAATCAGTGATGTCTAAATACTCTTAGAAAGTACATATGACTTTGAAAAATCACAGTGGTACTTGCCAGGGCCAGGATCGAACCCGTGCCCTCCTGCATGAGAGGCGGGCCTTTTAACCACTAGGGCACCACTGACTTAAATATTTTATATATTTGTCAATAATTCCAATAGAACGACAAATAAAATTTTACAGTGAATATTTTATCGTTTACTTATTATTCATTTAATAGTCATAAATTTAGATTAAAAAAGTGATCCTTATATTCTAATTTTTTATACTGCTTATTATCCAAAAACTACTTGTGGCATCCGTACACCATAAAACACTTTTAATACTAAAACATAAGTACTTATTTAACTTTGTATCAGACATGTATGTCTTTGAACTCAATATTACCAAATTTCTGCGAATTACAAATTTAATGGTTTTCATGTTAAAATATATTTCGTTAGCAAACTAAATTATGGGTGGGAATGTCATGCTTTTTACGTTTTTTAACTAGTCATCGCTCATTTTCGACCTATTAGATTGAACTGAGTACTAAATTAATAATTACATATCAAAAGATTGTGTATTCAGTAAATTTTAGTATAATTATATTAAGATTTAATCTAAACATTCAAATCCAAATAAATAGAAGTTATTCCAAAAAAAAATCCGTTTTATGTGACCTATTTGTGATTGGTTCGACTTAGCGACTTGACCTGAGTTAATGTAAGTAGGCTGTCGCTACTGACTTCAAATGTCATGAATATCAAACTATGTAGTTCAGGAAGAGTCAACTACATTTGACCTGTCTTAAGACACCAAGAGTCATTGCAACAAAACTAAAAGAGTCATTTAGAGACATTGAATTTTTAATGTGATTCTGAATTAGCATTGACTTTAGGAATTTGCAAGTCGAAGTTCTGCTCCTTTTACGTGCTTCATTAAGTCTGTGAGAACTAATTCCAGTTTCATAATGCAATTATCTTAAAGTTCATTATGTAATGAATATATAAAAAACTAAATCTGACTATTTTTGACACAACCTAAATTACACACACACACACACACACGCACGCACGCACATGTAATAATTACAACGCACACACAGAAAATCCGATGTTATCCGGTTTCCTCCTAATAAAACTTACCTCCAATGTTCATCCCTCGGTAACAAACGAGACTTCAATCAGTCTCAATAGAATACAATTGATGCTAATTTCTTAATAAATAACAAATAACTTGAAATAATAAACACTTAGAAATAATTACGTATGCCTCACAATATCTGTATTTTTCATACAATTTTCTGAAATACAATAGCTGAGATAATTTGATATATGTTCATAGTTAAATAAATAGTGACGTGGTTTAAAAATATATATCTGAATATATTTTTGTAAGTATATTAACACGAATTTTGAGATTTCAGTCACTTTTATTTATAATAAATAATCACCAGTTAAAATAAATGTAATGTAAATTGTAAAAAAACTTGGTAATGTGCTCACTACTTATTTGTACTGAATATGTACGTTCTCAATCAAGGTTTTACCACTAGCTTATATATTCATCTATTCATAATGAGATCTAATACTTTTTTAAGTATTCATTAAAATGAAACTCATATTTTTCGAATCTATCTCGTCTGTCCGTGATCACGGTTACTGGAAATTAACCGAAACGTCGGGAGTATGTAGTTTAAAATAATGAAATACGCGTATTAATCCGAAAAAATGAGTTTCATCTATACATAAAGTTTAGTTTTTGCGATAACTATTCTTCTATTATTGTAAATAAGTTTGTGGTATTAATGGTTGTACCTCACGCGAAAACTGTACAATGATTTCATTTTAATATACATATTATGAGAGTAAGATAAATGAATGAAGCATCTTATTTAATTAAAATATTCTTCGGGGTTCAATTTCAATCTTGATTTTTAAGTTTCATCGTTATTTTCAAATACACGTGATACCATTAATATTGCCATTACAAAATTACTATAATTCAGTATCATAATTATTTAAAATCAGTAATAAAAGTAATAAGGATTATAATATATTATAATTAGTACGGCACAGATAGCGCCATTTGTAACAACAAACACAGAAACATAAACTGTAACGCATATTCTATGATGTAGCACAATTCACTAGTTATTTAGAGATCAATAGAGCCTTACTACTAGACTGACGCAACAACGTATTGACTGTACGCCACTTACCTTTATTGATACTAACATCGACTACTATACATCTTTATATATAAAAGAAATTCATTTTAGTTCAACTATTTATAACTCAAGAATGGCTGTATGGGTTTGGCTAAAATTGTCGGAGAGATAGTAGAACAAGGGAAAGGACATATGATACTTTTCAGAACGATTGAAAAAGAAAAAATGATGATCAAATCAAAAATCTTCTTATCTAGTGTCTTTAAGGTAGAATGTAGTTCGCCCGGTCAGATATATATTTCTTATTCTGAAACTAACGCAGACGAAGTTGCGGCCATAAACTAGTTTAGTATATTGTTCCTTTTATCATTGTTTTCCACGCAATATAATATAATCCACATTATATCTGAGGCATAAAAAATATATTATCATACAAATTTCTCCCTTGGTACAGTTAAATTACAATTTAAATTTTTATAAAATAAATTTGAAACAAAAAATATGTAATTATGTGAATTAATTGAAACAATTGAATTTATATATTCTTTTTTTTTAATTAATATATATTATCATTTTATACATCTTTTTGAAAATTTTATACAAATGTTAAGGTTAAGTCTGTCTTTTATTTTTTGTTTTTACGTTTTACCACTCTAGTCTGAAAACTTCTATTATGTGGCATTACTGTTTTTACTCTAGGTTTTTTCAAGTTCTTTCTTTAATTGAAGGAGAAAATCGTATATTATTATATTTAACGAATAAAGTACAAAACACATTTCGTTTTGTACGTGTTAATGTACTTACAATATACATTGTTTTATGTGTGTACAACGAAATATATCAGAAAGTTATACCACTATTTTGCGACAAAAAAAATTAAGCTACATCATAAAAATGAATATATAAAAGGTCTTTTCTCGTATTTGATTCATTCCATACAACATTGCAATATTTTTTTTTTTGTTATATATTGCTTTATTTATTATGGTGTATTCCTTTGTTTGGTGAAGAAAATATTAAAAAACACATCATCATTCTTTATTTTCTCCACAAGTATGAATATATTGTCAGTTTTCATAAAAAGCTACTTATTATTTGCCTTCTTCGTTGTACACGTCTCCCTTTTACATTACAGTCAGCTTTAAGATCATCCGTGGCTCATATTTGTTGTCAAAACTGCAATTGTTTTATTTCACTTATTATCTTTTTAGATAAATTCTTTCACTATTTTTGTTATTAACTTGGAATGATCTGACTAATGAGATCTAAGAATTGCGAGTATTCATTTAAATGGAACTAATGTTTTTTGGATGTACTACGCGTTTTATTTTTGCAATAATTCATATACTTCCTTCGTTTCCGTTACTTTTCAGCAACCGTGATCACGGACAGACAGGCAGTCTTGTTGTTTACCATCTACCGCCATCGCCATCACGATCTTAATATTTATAAAATATATTATTAGTCTTACATCATTACATGAACTTTCGATCTATTTTATATCGCCATGTTCATCTATATTTTCAGTATATTTTCAATTTTACTTCTAACTACGTATCGGGTTTATTTCAAACCCTCGTTCCGTCTTCACTTGTTCCTTTATATCTGATTGATTGCCTGAAGAAATTGCTTCTCAACGGTAAAGTCACCCTCGGAATAAACATGTGCTAATAATAGATTTTTTTCATTTAGAGTACAATAAAACGTAAGTAATTAGTAAGACTAAAAAATTATTAAAAAATATAGTTTTCTTATACTTTTAAATAACTAATAAAATCTTAACTAGAACAAACTAATTATTATCTTAACCAAAACACCTTAAAATAAGTTAAATTAAAGGTATAAAAACACAAGTCGTGTCAAAAAAATACTTTCCCGCGCAAAATAAACAAACCAAACGTCATCGCTTTAACATCACTTCAGATGCGTTCGGTAATTTGAAGGTTCGGTTAGAATATATAAATATTTTTTCTCGTTTTGAATGACACTATTCTAATGTCATTATTATCTTTTTAAGTATATCTTATATTTTTCATATTAAATCGTAATACAATGATGTTCACAGCGGAACCTCCTCCATTGGTAAACGTGACGGTCCACGCGTCTACCATCCTGGCTATCATATTATGGAACGTGGCTGGTGATGGAGGGCATCCTATAGTGGACTTCACCGCTCAGTACCGCTCCGCAGCACCCGTCAACGACTCACTGGAGCCCTGGCGCCCTATCAGCCCCAACCATATCAGTCCTAACTCGGTAATAATATGCTTATACACAGTCCTTATACATAACTCACGTACCAAACAAATAATATACGTTGTTGCCAAATAGAAAAGATTTGATAGTGTCACTTTTTAAACGACTAAAACAAAAGAAGTTTATAATTGGAGTGTGTAAATTTATATTAGTAAATTCGTTAATATACAACACATTTATGTCATTTCATGTTCATTATCAACATAATATTATGTTGTACGAAGTTAATTTGTGTTTTTATCAAAACTGAATAATAAAAAATAGGTTTTTTTTTTGTATGCAATCTCTGTGACTTAAATGTATTTTATATTTTCCAGCGACAAATCGACGTGTATCATCTAGACCCGAACGCTTCCTACTGGTTCAGGGTGTGGGCCAACAACGTACTGGGCCCCGGACCTCCAGTAGAGGTCCTGGCCACAACGCTGTACAGCGATCAGGAGGCTGGTCAGTATACAACAGATACAACAGAAAATGTTGACATACTATACTTAATCTCCCGAATCTAATCAGAACAACTACATAATATGTCGACCTAACATGCCTTAGCAGAACTATAAGCTCATTAGTCGTAAGGTTTCCATTGATTTTCAAGAAGCTGTCACAGAATGACGTCATCGAATTCGAATTTCGAACAAAAGAATTCCTTTGCTTCAAATCCGTTTTACCCCCACCATTTCCAGAGCTATATAAGCACTTCCTCGAGGGCGCGGAGACATTCGACACCCGCACGTGGGTGGCGGCTGTGTGTGTGGTGATGGGCACGCTGTTTGTGCTCGCGGCCGGCACATGTGCAGTTCTGTGCCGTGAGTGGCGTCGCTCAGGTGAGCCGCAGCTCTAAATCTCCGAACGCACCGCTCATCTGAAATTTACATCGCAGATTCGCTAGATTAATATTGATTGACTTCAATCTTGCCTTAATAGTAGATACTGAACTTTTTGTAATGCAAAGCAACAGGTTTAAAATGTCTTTAAGGTCAAAAGTTTAGCAGTTACCATACTGAAGTATTTTCCTCTGTTAGAGGCTTAGACTTTTTAAACGAGAATAGATATACTTCATATAGCTATCAATCTAAAAAATATTCGGTTCTATTTAGTATCTCTGGGGTATAAAGATGTCATGCCCAACTTGAATAGTAGTGATGGTACATAAAATTAAACATCTAGAACTACGAGGAAAGTAGTTATAAAACGTTAGTATTAATAACAAAACAATGCACAACACTTGTGATCATATATTCCTTACATATATAAAAAACCTAATAAAAATATATAATATGTTAGTCATAATAATTGTTGAAAATAATTAATACAGCTGGAAAGCTAGGGAGCCTTACTATTATAAAATAATATTTTTTTCTACAGATCTTACTTATCTATAATATTTATCAATAATTCCTAAATGCACACGCATCTAAAATCTAAAGTGCCAATTTTTGTATATTATAATCAAGCTCGTCAATTTTTAATATTCGGATAGCTTTATATATAAAAAAATAAAAACAAAAAAATATATTATAGATACAACGCTAGCTATTTACTTGATATTTAAATTTAATACTTGCTAAATTACAATTTAAAATATTTAACAAAAATGTTACCTTTAATACATACATAGGTGCGCAACTAAGTTTCCGGGTTTTTTTGATCAATAAAAAATATAAAATTTCAAGATACATACAAAAATGATTTTATTCAAAGTATCTCCCTTCGCTAGCTACATATTTTTGCCATCTCTCTCGCAATACATGGATACCGATACGATAAAAGGTCTCGTTTTTGGACTGAAACCATTCATGTACCCAATTTTGCACGTCCTCGTAATTAGTTAAGTGTAGCCCAGACAAGCCATGCGCCATCGAACGGAACAAGTGATAATCGCTAGGGCCGAGGTCCGAGGAATAAGGCGGGGGCGGTAGCAGATCCCATTTCAGCGTTTTGATGGTGTCCTGGACAATTTTACTGCGATGGTACGGGGCGTTGTCGTGTTGCAATATCACTCGTTCATGTCTTGTGTTCCATTCTGGCCGTTTTTCGAGTAAGGCATGGTTCAAATTGATCAATTGCTGTCGGTAGAGATGCCCATTGACAGTTTCACCCGGTTTCAGCAGCTCGTAGTACAGGATACCTTTTTGATCCCACCAAACGCAAAGCATTGTCTTCTTTCCAAAGCGGTTTGGCCGTGCCGTCGATATTGATGCTTCGCCAGGGGAAACCCACTATTTTCTGCGTTTGGGATTCTTAAAATATATCCACTTCTCATCGCCACTAATAATCCGATGGAGAAAATTCTTTTTTTCATACCGCAAAAGCAAAATTTCTGAAGTGGTTTTTCGATTTTCAATCTGTCTCTCAGTCAACTCATGCGGCATCCATTTTCCTTCCTTTAAATTTTTCCCATAGCATGTAAACGTTTGGAAATAACTTGGCGAGTCACGTTTAATGCCTCCGCAAGTTGGTCTTGTGTCTGTGTGTCGTCTTCATCCAATAAGGCTTGCAGATCGGCGTCCTCAATTGTTTTTGGTCTACCGGAGCACTCCTTGTCTCGATGTCGAAATCACCACTCCTGAAGCGTTTAAACCACTCTTCACAGGTAGTTTTTGATGGTGCGTGTTCGCCGTAGGCCTCCTCAAGCAAACGACGTGCTTCAATTGCATTATTTTTTAAGTTGAAGTTGAAAAGTAAAACTTCCCGCAAATGCCGTTTATTTGGAACAAAACTCGACATCTTTCTTGTTAAAAAAAATATTTATACGCTGCGGAACCTATTGATATTACCACTGGTTATTGTTACTAGATGTCCAAGCTAGTAAAAAAATACAATTTCAGACATGTACGTCGACTACATTTATCGCTAATGGCATCTATGTGTAAAACCCGGGAACTTAGTTGCACACCTAGTATAAATAATTCTTACTTTACTTTTAGGATAAAATCCTTACCTTTTTATATGTTATAGCGCGCTTACGGACCAACACCATTCAAAGTCAATTAAAATATCTGGATTTGATGAAGTAGGCTTTAATCTTTTAGGCTAATTATTGAGTAGATATCTAGATGCTATTTTCAAGCTTAGCTTGGCTAGTGATTATGATAAGCAATAAACAATAAAATATCATTAGGGGTAATTTAGATTTGAAATTTTAATAATATATATGATTTTTTTAAATATTATTTTTAATGTTAATGAAAATAACATTCAATTTTCGTATACGACTGTTTCTTGCCTTTGTTTTATATAATTTACGTGAAATCCAAAACTTTCCTTAAAACATTCCAAATAATTAGGCTGTTCTTGTTCAAATAGATTAGATTTATTATATTTTTTTCTTATATATATAAGCTATTGCATTGAGCGATGCTACGATATTCTATGTAGACTTAATGCTCTATGCCTATACATAACAATATATCTTGAATTATCAATCTTATGAATATAGGACCACATATATTCTTGGACCACTACTGTAGCTTTTTCAGCACGAATACAACTATAAGCCAAAGAATCTCTAATGAGTAGATAATATGTATAGCTATATTAATGTACATTAAGATAATTACCAATTCATACTAGCAGCTTAGAAGTAAAATTAACATACAGAAGAGACAGAGTAACGTGATCTTCAACATTAAAATCAAACAAATTATAATCTTAATATTGAGTTAATCAAATATTGATAAAGCTTTACCGCCACAGTTTATAAAAAGTTCGTTAGTGGCTTCAAGTAGTTACAACAGTTAGTTTAGAAATGAATTATGATAATGCTCTTTGGAATATTGTCTGAACATTCTTTTAACACATTCTTGCATGAACACGCCTCTGCCCGTTTTGCCATATACCATTAACAGTTACTATGGCATTTAGACATCTTAGACTATTGGATTTATTAAAAAGATTTGGATATTATGAAATATCATGAATACGCCCTATACACAGGCGACAGAAATTCACTCCGCTAGTATTTTGTTACGGTGGCATCGATTTGATATTTCAAGAGTGAGTTTCTACTGATATTTGAATGTAACCGCATGTCCGGCGTAACTTATACAGCGTTTATTCCATTTTTATTCATTTGTATTTTTCTTCTTTCCCTTCTATCGCACTCGCTTGGAACGCACGCTCGGACGGCGGGGCTGCACACTAACAAACATACACATTAACACGGTGATGGTACGTATTGATACTAACACGACTTATTCAACGTTACCCCGCATCAAACCTGCGTTACCCTGGACCTTATATGGAAGTAGATTACACTGAAGAGCAAGACGTTATAGAATTGGTACCTAATATCATTTTGAATCCCGGTTTTATGGAATCTGACCCTGTACGATCCCGGGAACCTTACGCAGCGTCAATTATCAAGTCGACGGAGTGTCCGGGCCCGGGGAAGCCTAGGCGTGTCTGATTTTCGTCTATACTAAACCTTAGAATATTCTACATCGCTGATTCAAATCTATTATCATGATCCTAAGAGAAATTGATATGGATTCAAAGGAAATGAATATTAAAATACAAACAAGAATATAATATAAAATGTGGAGTGAAACATATGAAGGACTACATAATCGTATGATATAAAGTTTGTTAGTGGAAAGGACATATCAAAGAACGTAATCAGAATTTTGTAATGATGAATCAGAGTCATAGAATATTCTAAAGTTTTTCGATTCATTGAATTGAATAAATTATGATATATTTTTCAAAATTTCGAAAAAAAAATTGATGTCAAAATTTTGAAAAATAAAAATATTTTTAGATAGCTCTAACTATTGAGAGAGATCAATGAAATTTTAAGCGTTAAAGGTATTAGGGTTGCCATTAAGTAAAAATAAGGTTTTATAGTTCTCGCACGGTAAATTACACGGTTATTTTTCAAAAATATGTGCTTTTTTATATTTATAAAACATGTTTACAAAAAAGGTAGCGTAGTGCTGTATTCAATATATTATACTGGCTACATTTATGTTAACAATGGCAACACTAGTATTGATGTAATTTCGAATAATATTGCTTACCGTTAGTGATAAATTGTTAATGTTGCTAGCTGTAATAAATAGTGACTTAGTTATTTATTTTTGCAACATTGTATATTTATGATATTTTTCTATGAAGGGATCTCAAATTATGCTTAAGACTAACATTAAACGATACATTCTTTTTATTTTATTTCGTAATGTGATTTAATACTGTGATTATTTTTCTTCGACACGTATTTAATTTCACGCTGTTTATGTAATATATTATATTAATGTTATACGAGGTAAGCTTAAATTTAGTTTGATTGAGACTGTTTTGTAGACATCTTCTAACTTCTAGTGTTTAGGAGATCGACTTTAATATACACACATAGATAGTATATAGGCGCTAGAGTCAGTACGCCGTGTGCTAGCTGAGAAGCACAGCTTACGTAAAGCAAACGCAATTACCAGATGACAATATGGTAGTGTATAGATATAGTTTGTAACTTTAGTGACCAGAAGGCAATGGGGTTAACGTAAGTATGTTGTGACTTAAACATTTATGTTACTCCGTCATGGGTCTATAATCAATATGAATAGTTTTCCGGGAAATGTGAATACATATATGAATGTTTTAATACGTTTTTTTGATAAAAACTCACATATAAGTCATGACGGAGCAATATGAATCGCATGTCATATATTAAACAGAAGTAATATAAAGATGTTATAAATTTGAGAGTGCTTTATTTTTTTATACGTCGTGTATGCATATCAGGTACGCCTTAGAAAATGTTAAAAAATACTGAATACATAAAAATTTTAACATATTATCGCAATGAGAACTACTGAGTATATTTAATGAGAAGTTTTTTCCAATACGATCACCAGTTCTTCGGTTGAAGTATCCATAATAGTTTAATTTGTATTTTAAGAGATGTCTATAATATATGGTTCTCATTGCGTATTCTTATTGTACGTGTTTCCCTCTTCCTACGCTCATTGCCTCTGTGTGACCACTACCTTCGTCCTCTCGACTTGTCCTCACGCTTCCTCTACATGTATCTATCGTTCTATGTTAATCTTAATATACACTTCCGTCTGGCGTGTGCTGCTGCGTCAATTATATCTTGTATATATCATCTGTTGCTGTAACTTTAAACTTTTGAACTATCCGTTCACAATTTTCTAAACAATCCAACTTTACTAACCGCATACAATGAAATATATTCGCTTATAAAATTGGTAGAGATATATTTTATTACAATTTATATAACTTACAAACGTTGGTTGATGAGAATTTATATATATATGTATGTATTCCGTCTGGAGTCGCGAAGCAATCAACTGCCTTATAATGAAGTACATGTTTATCGCTCACGCAGTTTGTGACCGCTTTAATGTTAAATATTGATACATGTGTAAAGACATGTTAAGTTTGGGATGAGAATAGTATAGTGATGCGAGGTTGTATTAGACTAGAGGTACGCTAGGTACGAGTAGGGTAACTTCCTTACACGGCGGGACGGCGAGAATCAAGACTGGGGTAAAATGAATTTGATGGATGTATTACAGTGCGGTTTATGATTTCCAAAATATATTTTTGATAGCAACAATTAACATATCTTAATGTCCATCACATTTTAACTAACTTTAACTCTGGGTTTGTTATAATTGTTTGTTTTGCGTGTTTATTTTATTTAAGGACTGAATTGCATGAGACACGTCTTAATGACGTTCGTAGCCTTACCATGAGTATGTATCGACAAACTAAATAGACAAATTTGATGTACGTTAATAAAAAGAAAGATTTATGAATGAAAAACATGAATTTGTTCGTTTTTATTTTGTCGATATAAACTACTAGTAAGGGCAGAGTTATAAGTATATCTGATACTTATACTAAAGCATGTTATCGCATGTACCTCGCTTATATGACACAACTATGCTTTTTATCAGCACTCCGTACTGCAAGTTATACCTATTTAGTACACAAGCTTTTTATATGTGTTACGATTTCTTTATAAAGTGACCATATCACCTACAATTCGTATGACCATCCGAATAATTACGTTCCTATTAGAATCTTCCTTGGGGTAATTATAAATAAAAATAATTTGTGTTCAATGTGTGTGTGATCACGTTATGCTGTCTCTGTATGTGTGTTACTAGTGCATGTTGCTGATATAATGTGTATTTGTAAGATTTATTTTATAAAATTAAGAAAATATCACTTTTTAAATAATATTTTTGTTTAATCAAAATGTATCCTTTATGATAAACAATTGAAGCGTTGCTTTCGATATTGTTTTGCGTGAAGCAGCTAGTTCGTCACCAAATTTTCTTTAGATTTACTTTATATTAAAGTAATAATGTTTTTTAGTGTAAGAACGCCTTTAACGAGCACGTCCATTGTATGTGGCAGCGAAATGGTAATTATTTTGCCATCGTATCTCTTATTACTAAGTATGTTACCGGTACATTTTATTGATTAGCGATATTTTTCTATTTAAGTAACTCTAAGAATAGTTTTAAGTTGGTTCGGGGAGAATTTGATTATTTTATTTTGTAATACGTACGTCAATGTACATTACAGCTCGTGGGTTTTTGGATAACATTAAGTTACTGTGTATAGATATTTTTTTTTGACAGCAAAAAGCAACTGTTGATAATGATACGCTTTAAATGTTAAAAATAATAAAGTACATTAAATAAAATAACTTAAACTCAAAGGAAATCATATTTTGTATGTTTTGTTTGAAAGAAATTTCATTTTATTAATTTGAAGATAAGAATTTTTGTTTTGTTATTAAAGAGGTTTATAAATTACACCAAAAAAACGATCTCTTTTTACAATCTGTGCAATATTCATGTTATGTTTGATTTAAATAATTTGGATACAAAAGTTATTTTGGTTATTTATGGTTTCGGTTATTTCTGTCATAATAACTATATTGCTTTATCAAGTTGATCATAATAACTATTTTGCTGATTTTTATTTAGCGATGTGTTCGTAATACAATAGTTGAAACCTGTTGTGATGTTGGATATCATTCCCATTAAAATACATTTTACACAAATATGTTGTTTTATTTCATTAAAAACACAAAAGCTGACCAAAAATTATTTTTAAGACAAAGATGTTATACAATATTACACATAATAATAATTTTCTATGATGGCTGCCTTTACGAAAAAATCAAAATGTAAGTACAACAATTTTCATATAGAAGACAAAAATATTTTTTTTCGTAAATTAAAAATTTGTAACATGTAAAATTACTTTGTTTGAAAGCACTTTTGAGCTTTTAGGGTGTATCAAATTATAAAATCTTAAAAACATTTTCTCCATAAGTACTAAAATTTATTTCAGGATGTGTCACTGTCCAAATCCGTACTCTGCAAAAAATATAATAGATATGATTAAATAGTATGAATCACTTAGAACATTTATTGTACAGTCAATCTGGGTAACTTTGATTCATCGGGTAACTTTGACAGTGGGACCATGAACTAGTTTCGATTATTTTTTCGCATGAAACCAACACTATTCATATATGTTTATTTTAGATTTGCGATTTTAAATAAGCTTCCTAAATGCACTTTAAAAAAAAGTAAGTTGTGAAAGTAAAAAAACGTCATAACTTCGATTCTGAATATATCGCGCGAAATTAAGTTTACTTTAGGGTGAAAAACTTTTTGAATATTTTGTGATTTTGGTTGTTGATAAGGTAAGTGAGATGTTATACAGAGCCATTTGTGAGTGTACTACCGCATTTTCATGAAAAAATAGCTCATAATTAAATCTTATTTTGAAATTTCATGCATAAATATGAAAATACGTATTTTGAACAGTAACTGGGTAACTTTGACAGTGTCAAAGTTACCCTTACATAGAAACTAAAATAGTGGCGGAAGAGGTGGTAGAAGAGGTGATTGAAGAATTTGTTGTTAAAGATGGAGTTTTGCAACATAAACATCAAAATATATTGAGTTCTCACCTAGAACAACAGTTATATTTAAAACAGAAGGCACACTGTTTCCAGGAAAAGTGACAAGTTACACATTTCCGTATTATACACTTGTTGTCATGAGTAGATCAACACAAGGTGGTTGGAAATGGCCAGATAAAAGAGAAATTATTAAAATTAGATAAGATGATGTTGTATCTCCAGTAGATAACAGTAAAATCAGTATAAAGCAGCCTGGGCTCTACACAAGTATTATTGACGATTTTCTCTATATGGAGTGGGGAGAATAGACAAGTTATGCTCAAGATTTTACAAAATGTTTGTGTGTTAAAATTATTTTTGCTTGTTTTCTTTATAATTTGAATAAAAATGTTAAATTAAAGGATTTTTTTAAGCGTTTTTGATGGTGTTAAACAATGTGTGTAACATTGCCAAATGTTGTAGACTGATTCTTCATAATTTTTTTTTAATATAAGACAAAATTGCAAAATGTTCGTTTTATTGTGTCACATGCATCCATTAGTTAATAAATATATACCAGAATGTTACCCAGATTGATAAAAATAATACTTATTACTACATTTTTATGCTTGGCTCTGTGTGTGTCAAAGTTACCCATCTTAGGGGGGTAACTTTGACACACACAAAATTTAGATTTTATACTATATTGGTATGTTTTATAAACTTTCTGTGGATGTCTAGAGACGGAAAGTAATACGAGAGCACTGATAAAATAAAAACACCCGGGTGATAGGTTTAATTTTTTTAAATATAGTATTAAATATCACCCTTATCTGTCAAAGTTACCCAGATTGACTGTAACATATATTTATGTAAATATATGAATCAATTGCATCCTGTCCTACTTCCTATTGTTATAATAAATGCGAAAGTTGGTGTGTGTGTGTGTGTGTGTGTCTGTGTGCGTGTGTTTGTGAGTGTGTGTTTGTATCATGAGAATTTATATTAGGTATATTTCCTACTATATCTGAAATAACGCTAAGTTAATAACTCCATAGAAGAAATCAAAAATAAATTTGTCCTGTAAATCTAGTTGTCTTACAATTTTTAATCTTAATAATCAAATATATTTTGTCTGGAATTTTATACAAACATTAATTAGGATTTATAAACTTATTAGATATCATCTCCGTCCTAACATAAAGGTTAAATTTACAGGATGTATTCACAGATACTACGACTATACGACAGACTACAAACTATAGTGCGATAGTTTATTTTTTAAATGATCTAAAACGTTTGCAGCTTCAAATCCTGCTCGTGTTAATGATTTTCTTTTCAATACTCTCTCATTTTAATTTTTTATTAAATTAAGACATGGTACGTAAACTATTGTGGATCCTATTAGCATATTATATCACCTTCATATCAGTAGTCTCCAAGGCTTCCTGCAGCATCTCCAGTCCAGGGTCGTCGGGTGTGAAGACGGAGATCTCATCGAAGAATCTTTCCATCTTCTGCTTCAACTCCTCATTGTACTTGCGCTGCTCGTACAACACTTCTGGACTTCCTAATGGCGTGTTCTGACAACTTTGATTATAATAATACAAGATGATATAAATATATATGTTTGACATATTAATAATATAGAAAGTTTTTATTTTAACTCATACAAACCTATATAAAGATTCAAGGTAAGCCGGGGGAAACGATTCGTTTGCTGTTCGTATGAGAGCCCACGGATCACTCAGGCTTCTGGTTTTATACTAAAGAAAAAACAAAAGTTTTTGTACCAAATAATATACTGTGATGACATCTAAGACTTTTGCGATTATTCATTTAAATGAAACTAGTATTCTTCGGATAATACGCGTTCTTTATTACGTGACCGTAATCACGGTTGATGAAAAATAAACGAAACGTCGGATATATGTAGTTTTACAATAAACTACGCTTGTACATATAATCCAAAAAATATTAGTTTTATTTAAATATATTTTCACACTGACAAGAACTACCATGACAACTTGGAAATAGTGTCCATCAAAGCATGTAAATAAACTGAGAGATTCTTTTACATCTTAAAACGTGACAATTATTAAGCACTGATATTAATAGTTATGAAGTCCTTTCTTTTGTTATGAAAACGTTGGCAAGAGGTGACAAACAGAGCAACAAGCTCTATCACTCATCGTACGAAACGCAGCCATTGAAGGCTACTTCACGCCGATCTTCTGTGAGAGGGTGGTACTTAACCGGTCGAGCCAGCACATGTTCAAGCTGTAATTACATGACTACAACTAGATAATAGGCTCTACCACCTACAAAGTTTTATAAAACCTCACCTTTCTATATCTATCGTAATCAATCTCTGAATCAGTCATAGCTCTGGACAGCGCCAAACTCGAGTCTGAGCTGACAGTTGCCACTTCAAAGTCATCAATCGTGATAGATGTGGTGTCACTGTCTACATCCTCATCAGGTTCGCGCCACACATAAGGGTCTACTGTAATATCCTCTGGAATATCCAGCTCATTCACCATCTGAGACCTGGTCTTTGGGACCGTCTCCAGGACAGATTGGAACATGTTCATGTTGGATGAGAACCGCTAGTACCTATATAAAACTAACCACCTTTTTGACTTCGCGAAATTTTTTTGAGTAAAATAAATAATATGATTTCTAATTATGATTCATGTTACGTCACAGCGTATTTTTATGAGGTTTGGAAGTTATAAGTATAATAATTTTACTAAAAACTCAGCTTTTTCATATAAAGATGTACATGAGACGTTTGTATCTTTGTTATATATAAAAAATCACTTTCGACGAGTATGAATCTAATCAGAAGCAATGTTAACTTTGTACTACTAAGTAGTCACGTAGTCACTGCTGAATAATCGAATCTTCAAACTAAGGTTTGGTCGATACTTACGTGAGGTCAAACACGCGAACCCAAAAGATATCTTCATCAGAACAAACGTGAACTGCAGTATTATGCTAATACCTACTGATTTGAGGTCAATGATAAAATGTTTTGCAAATTTAAGGAAAAAATTTCCAGCGTAATACAGCCTACTTAGTGAGGAAAGCCTTTCTGTTATTCATAAAACATTAATTCTTTAAAACTGTAAGTGTAAAAAAAATTCTTTCACAGTTTAAAAAACCTTCTTTCTGAGGTACTTCCTGCTTATCTTAATAAACCTTAAATATAACAGTCATTGTTTATCATAATAACAATATCTTCAGTAATAAAGATTATTTAATTCCAAGTATCCATAAATATAATAACATTATTATCCTTTCGTTCATTCAATACATACTTTATACGTAATATTGTTTCTATTTATAAATCTTTTATTCAAAGAAAGGTGGATAGAGCCGTCAAAGTATTAGACTAAAAAGATTATGTCTCCATAATCCATATAATAGCACATTGTACTAGCCTCAGGTTACATAATGCTTCATTGTGTCTCTTCCTATGAACGGACGCTAGGAGTACAGGCCCGGTATTATAACATTCAGATAACCAGAATAATCTGAATGTTATCGGTTCGTTACAAACAACATTTTTGACATTAAACCGCGCAGTTATACCTTACAATGCTCTAATGAAGAAAAAAACAAGTCTTCATTAATCGTATTTATTTAATAATATTTTGACATCATCCCTACTAATATTATAAATGCGAAAGTAATTCTGTCTGTTAAGCTTTCATGCCTAAACCACGGAACTGATTTTAATGAAATTTGGTACAGAGATAGAGTTGGCCTTGAGAAAAAAAATAGGATAGTTTTTATCCCAGACTTTTGAAATGTTCTCTTGGAAACGCGATATAACCGAACTCCAAGCGGACGAAACTGTGGGCGGAAAGCTAGTACTATATATTTTTATACAAAAAATTTAAGCTATTAGTCTATGGTATAGAGTATAGAGTATAAACGAATCTTTCGTCTTCGCTTATGTAATTTCGAATATAGTATGTTAATTTTAGGAACAAAACCTCGGATTTAATTACAAAGCTAACTTAATACATGTCGCGAACAAATGAGTTAAATCAATAATTTCTGTGATTGTGTAAGCAAACTATTCATCTGAAAGCTTTTGCACTATAATTTGTATTGTGTAATACTTTCTGATATACATCCGTCACAATATTCTTTTTTTTACAATTTTACCATAATCTTGTTTATCTTTAATGAGATATTATAAAATAATTAACTAAAGAGAGCACTGTCATTTAATTACTCATTATACTTTGTAAGAGAAAATTTAATGAACACGAAAAGAATATAAAATTTCATCCTTATATTGAGCACCATTTAAGTCTCCAATAACAATTGTACTCTTGAGACTTAGATATGTACTCAGAATACTTGCGCGTATTATATAAATTAACTTTAGTTAGTATAAGCTATGATCTTTTTCTTATTATTACCAAAGCCAAAAAAAAAAGTCATGACGTCACAACGTATTAAAACTTCAAGTTTGACAGATGACTTTTTTTAATTTCCATTTAAAGATATAATCACTGCTATAATTATTTTAAACCAAATTTACTATTTCATGAAAATTAATGGCATTTATCCAATTAGTAATTAGTGTAAGTAGGTATCGTTGACGAAGGTTTTATGTTACAGATATTTTATCCTTGCTTTATGATCGGTCGGAGAATTAAATGAGTGACCTTGAACTAAAATCAATCCAACTATCAGCACTGCTACTGCGGAGCTCTAAATAATATAGTATTATTATGTACCGACTGATGATTGAGATATAATCATAGGATGTTTATTATTTCACTTTAAAATAATATAACTTTATAGTAACATAAAAACATACATTACTGTATGGAATTTTATAATCAATTGAAGTAATTATAGGAGAAAAAAAGTAAACATGTCTTGTTTTCTTCGTAGAAAGTATCAAGATACGGTAGTTTCCTAACAACACTGTATTTATCTGTATGTACAAATAAAATTGAAGTGTTTAGTATCTATTTACTTTAAAATATTGTTTTCTATTTAATATTTTTTTCCAGTTTCATTGCATTTCAAAATGTAAAATAAATAAGTACCTAGAATAAATTTTTTCTACGTTCAATAATTATTGCGGTCTTCTTGATAATAATCAGTATATAATTATAAAGCAACAGTAACGCAAGCATCGCCACATGCAAAAGCCTATAGTATCAACCTTTAGTCTACATATTTTAATCCGTATTTTTAAACCTGTTCAAATAAGCGTTATTCAATTTCACATCATAACCGCGAATATTAATTTTAGAATTTTTGCTACATATTGCATCTATGAACATAATTTGGCTCTCACACAAAACGATGGGTGACGTACAACGCACACATGCACCAACGCGTACAGACATTGAGCGTGTGTGCGTGAGTCCGCTCTGAATCTATGGCAGTCTGCCCGAAAACCAGCCAGTACTGCACGCGGTGCGCGTCAAACTTGTTGTTGTGCGTCATTGACATATAAATTTATAATTTGGTCGGAATTCAGCAGTCTAGTGTCGAACTGCGCAGCGAACGCGCACACGCATAATAGAACGTAAATATCATTCCATTCGTTTCCATAAAAACAGCTGATAGTGTTAAAACGCAATGAAATAACCGTTCAATGTTCATTCGAGAGTATATTCTTGTGTCAGTCATGTCGTGATATCGCACGCAGATGGAGGCGGCTAACGGTCCGTCGCTGCGGTTACGCGGCGGCGTAAATAATAACAGTGATAATAAGAAACATGAGATAAATTTGTGTACAAGTGCCATGTCGCCGGAGACACAGCGGCTGTTACCGCCGACCTCCGAAACCATCATGACCAAGCCGTTCCCGATCAGAGGTAAACTATCGATAAAAATACAATGATTATAACAACGCGTCCCCGCTGTGCCGGTTCGCGGAAACTAAAGAATCCTCTTACAATAAGCTGACAGTGTGACCAATATATCATGACACTTAAAATATGATAAAAAACACTTATATTTCTATATTATTCAACTTATTTAACGTCAAAATATTATTTAGTACTTTGTTAATTGTTTCTCAGTTATTAGTTATACGATATCGGCATTATGTTTATCGACTGCATCCACTTGTTAATCATTTATTAATATAACCATTTAGTCGTTGAATACGTATTGGCTAATGTTTTTATAAGTTTAAAATGAATAAATTAAATATACGTAAGCAAAACAATAATCATATATAAACGGCTTAATGTAATTATTATTGACGATATTACTAACGTGTTTAATATTTTTATTGTTATTTAATATAAATCATTAACATAAGCATAAATTAGAATAAGTAATTGAAAAAGTTTTTATTAAACATTAATTTTTTTGTCGGCTATAAACGGCTTTTAAAGACGGCTAAGAAGTATATGATTACTTAAACGTAATTGGTGTACATAAATAATTAATTATAAATTCATATTATTTCTTCTATTAGAAAAAATATCCATATTTTTTATTGTGTGTGTATTAAAATGTACATTTCTAAACTAACTGTATACATATATTACTAATCTACTTATAATGGCAACACTGTCTTATATTCCATTATATGTGGAATGTCGCCTACATTAATATCAGATGAAACATAACAAATTAGTATGTAGGTTTAATACATTAAAAATTCTTAAACATTTTATTATAAGACGCCATAGACAAATGTAACTATAAATAACAGCTGATAAGGTAATAAAAAAAATATAAAGAGCTATAGAATAATTTGTAAAAGCTTATGCCTTCAAGCTAATGTAAATACATTTTTTTTTGTTTTCACATACGGCCTGATATCGTATTTAAAATATATGATTTTTAAGTTGTAAATTGTGATTCTATATGAAATCATATACCTAATGGGAAACCATAATAATATTTTAATTATATCTAAACTTGCGATTAGCCCAAAAAATATATTTTACGTAAGAAGCATTGGGACTGAAAAAATATATGTCACTTAAAAAATAGCTGGAAAACTACGTTATACTGACCAGTACATAAAATGAGACTAACAAGTCCTTGACATAAGGCTTCTCTCAATTACGTAAATGACTACGGGGTGGCGACGCTCTTCTCACTAGCGAGAATTATCTTCTAAACTTAATCCCATATAAAAAATGTATTTTCGTTAATATAAAACCAACAAAATCATGTTAATCATCATCATCAAGTAAAGTGCAGCGCATCTGTTCATCGTTTCACCTCAATTGACAAACTTGACCTCTCAAGACTTCGAGGTCGATAGAAAAATTTGAGTTACATAATGGAATAAAAGAAACCTTTATACAATTTATTTTATATATAAAATAAATAGGAAAATCGGTAATAATTTAAAATCATATTAATATTATGTAAAATTTTAAAGTTTGAAACCGATAGATTTGTGCATTGCATCATATCGTGTGTATGCCCAGTTAAGTAAGTAATTAATTTAAAAAATAAATATTGATAGCATATTATTTTTTTAATATATAGATTTTAAACATAATACAAAAATTGAAAAAACTTAATGACAAAATATTTGTTACCTAAAATAAAAGCGTCTCATTCAGTCCAAAAAGGTTTAGGAATATGAAGTTTTAATTTAAAAAGGAGTAATAAGTGTAATACAAATGTATTGTTATATTTTATTCTTAAATACATATAGTATTAAACAGACTTCGCAAATTACTACTAGTAGTAGTACTTTGTAATTTATTATTTACATTTGCAACTTCATATAAATTACTTAATAGAGGTAAAACACTTTTAAAACTGCATATTGTTTGATCGCAAACAATGTTTAAACTAATTATAATTATTATTACTTGTATTTTGTGGAATTCCTTTATCTTTTGTCTCTTTATACGTCTCGAATACGTCATTAGCGATGACGTCATCACTATTCTGCTTAAAAATAATAAAATAAATGATTTGTAACATTAACAAAGGAAACAAAATAAAAAAAATATATTACATCCAATTAGGAACAAAGAAATTAAATTATTTACATCACTTAAGTAAAATTTTCATTTTTCTTTTGTATATTATAGCATAAATGCAGTTTTGAGAAGATTTTATGGAGGGATTAGAATTTAAATGAAAGATTAAAGAACTTACTGTTCACTATTGTTAACAAGTATGACTTTACTATCATGTATACAATGAAAATATTGGGTTTTAGTTTTTACCTCACTGCTAAGGACTTGGAAAGCAAAAACTTATTTTCTATTATTATTTGAAATGAAGCAGATTTGAAATTTGGATTTCATCAAAACTCTTCGAAAAAATTCTAGTGGTTGATAATAATGAAAGTTTATAAAAAATATAATAATGTAACATAATTCAAAAACACAAAGTACGTTTCGTGACACACATAACCGGTAAATAATTTTCTATTGATTGTAAATTTACGAAGCTTTAAATAAAAATTACAATTAAAACTCTCATCTGGCCTGAATAATGATTTAAATATAAAGTAACTAATGAAATATAATCAGTACAAATATTAATACAACCACAATAAAGCATGCACTGCACGTGCCACTATACAAATATTAGTATTTATAATTGCATGTATACGTAAACATTTTCTCTAATTAAACATTTTGAATAACAGTTATCAAGTATCACGATCTATAAATACTCTATTTTATAAGTAACTTAGGTCAACACGAAAACTAACAACAATGAAATTATATCACAAAAATAATGCAATTCTTAATTGTTACAAATATACCCACAATATAAAGTCAAATATAAAAAATTACAATAAAAAAAGAAGAAAAAAAACTATAAGTAAAATTAAAAAAACTAAAGTACCAAAGACAATAAATTCTTTAATAAACGTGCTCGCCGCGTAGATACAAAGATATTCTAGTGTTAAAATGAATTCTTGTACATCACGAGATGATCGCGTGGCCAGCCCGCAGCCGTCTGAACTGTGATAACCACTAACGTATTTGTTTGCTGACAAAACAACACATCACTGTATATTAAACTATAACTATATACCACAAGGAAAACTATGCACGCTGATATTTTTGATGTATACTATCTATATACTATCTATTTCTAAGGACTATTGTGTTCGTCTATTGAAATTTATCTCAATAACTTTCATTAATGAGAAATAGTCTTGTATAATTCGGTCTGTTATAAAATACGTATTTATACTACATAGTAAAATTTAGACATTTCTGTTAATCTAACTAGAAATATTTTCTAATGATTTTAAATAAAAGATCAGTTGATTCCAAAATAAACAATTATATCTAAAGACTCATGAGATCGATCATAATAAAAACGCCTAAAAATTAAGTTACTAATTCTCATATACTGGAAAACAAAAATAAGCTCCATTTTTTTAAATTGAAATATATTTCTTTCATTAAAATGGTGAGTTAGTTATTTCGGAAATATAAATATTATAATACTATTATATAATACAAATATATCTATTATTTATCTTAAGTATAAGATAAAAAAATATTGCTATCTGAGATCATCTCGGATCCCCAAAACTTTGTCGACGTTCGTTCGATTAACGAAATGTTAAACAGAGCCTTAACTTTTTACCAAAACAAAAGATTTATCATATAGAAAACTTTATCAATATACACAAAAACTGGAACAAGCTACTGCACTAGAGTCTCTAAATATTCCACATTAAAAGCCAATAATAGATCTTAAAAAAATAATTTGTGATATTACGTGATTAATATCTTTGATGAATAAACAGATGTGATTATTTTTACTAATTTTTAGCAAACAATTTCTATCATATATTTGGAAAATGAACTAGTTAAAGCCCTCAACAATATGGTGATAAGGATTTTGCAGAAGAAGCTCAGGGTCCAAAAACTAATGTGATTATAGCAAGTATTTCTGCATGACAAAGAATGTACTTAAGATAACCATGGATTAAAAAACTATTCAAGGCCAATGTCACTATGAAGGTTGTCTAACATAGACAAATTAAATGCCCAATGAATTATGAAACTTACAAAGCAATAAAAATATTACCTTTCTGCTTGATTTATGTACCATTTATATTTGTCAGTGATAATTGAAAACACGTAACTTTTCCTGACACAAATAATGTCATAGAGGTGTTAATTGGTTCCATAACATTATAAAACGTCATCACTGATATTATATGATCAATGTTCATATTACTTGGTATATTTATATACATATATTATATGTATCTGATATATCCACCTCTCGTTGCCGAGGGCGCGGGTTCGATCCGGGCAAGTACCAATGTAATTTTTCCGAGTTATATGTACTTTCTAAGACTATTTAGACACCACTGACAGACTGACGAAGGAAAACATCGTGAGGAAACCTGGACTTGTAGTTTCACAATTATAAGTTTGAAATCACCAACCCGTCTTGAGCAAGCGTAGTGATGAATGCTCAAACCTTCTCCATGTGAGAAGAGGCTCAGCTGTGGGCTCTGATAGGCTGATGATGATATACATACAAATTTATATATAAATTATATACAGAATGAAATGAATTCATAATAATTAATACTAAGACACCATACGAGCAGCACGAAGAATGAAAAGCATATTTTTTTCTAACACTTACTTTTTTCTGTCGTATGAATGTTGCCGCACATATATCTATGTTCATTAAATTTTGATTCATTGAATTTTTATATTATAATTTATACACCTAAAAGTGGATATATATTATATAGTATATCTTGTGTTGTTTTGAAACTTCCATTACAACTATTTTCATCAAGACACGAAAAATAGTTCATTGTTTTTTCGAGTGAATAACCACTATTGTTTTACACATAGAACAAATATAGCAGTTTGAAATGAAATGCTTGTTTAAA